TGTAGCGAATAATACTGGAAATAGGGCGTAATGTGCTGTACTGAGCCTGGATTGACAGAGGCCTTGTATATATTGTACATAGAAGTAAGGAATAAGTGTGTATTGTAAATTTATGTAAATACAGACAGTGGACATATTAATACAGACTGACTGACCAATGACAGACCCGACCTCTCGTCAGAGAGGGCGCCCCACATAGACAAGACAGTAACTTTCATTCAAAAGAAATATTTGGTCATGAGCCCCAGCTGGGGCTCGACACCAAGGCAGACAGACTGACTGACCGTCAGTGGATCATGACTTTGACTTTGACTTCCCACAACTCAAATGATTTTGCCACCAGATTTAAGGAACTGAGGAAAACACCACTGGATATTTATTCCGCTCACGCCATAAGAGTGTACAATAAATAGTTATTATCTTTTACACCAATCAGCACATTGACTCGTAGATTGTACAGTCTGTTTGTCAATAAAGGAGAAGAAGAACAAACGTTCTCATATTATTCCTATGCACTGGTTTTCATGGAAGTGGTCTGAAGGCCAGGTTTGTTGCATAAAGTTTTCACCTCGCTTTCTATCTTAGCTTCAGATCTGTGCAGGTATCATTAAAATGTTTGTTGCACACATTTCTTGTTATCTCCTTTGACAAAGTTCTGTCTCAGGTATTTTTGTAGCTGTAGTTATACTGACAGAGGCTGTCCAGTGATTGAGGTTTGCTCTTTCTAAAGGCCCAACAGAGAAGTTCTCTCCCCACGCCTGAGGAACAAAACAGACCCAGTTTCTGAGTCGTGTTCTGTAGTTTCTTCAGAATACCAGAAGATAGACAAATTCTAAGGATTCCCTAGCTGATGCTTGGTAATGGCTACGAATAGAGGACATTCTTCAGATTCTCCACTCCTGTCATTGCCAGTTGGCGACCGTCTCACAACTCCTCATGACTGCAGCTCCTAGTCATAAATGACTAACTATGAGTCACATTTACTTTACAATTGGCGGTTTGCCGCCAATCAGTTCGTCTTAGCGTCAAGCCTCTTGAGGCTCATGACAAGTGCTTCTTTCCCCCCCCCCCCAAACTGACCAGCTGCTAAATTGCTTCTGACCCTCGGCAGCACAGTGACCCCACGGGACCCATGACCACATTTTCCTGTCTGATGGCACTGGAAGTTTCGGACCATCAGTCACCTGACTCTTTTTTGCAATTAACTGACTGACTGCTGAATTTCTGTCAGCCGTCACCAGCTCAGTTATTCTTTGTTCCGAGTCCCATGGGACTCATGACTATATTTTACGGTCTAACGGCTGTGGGAGCTTTCGGATTTCTTCCCTTTTTGAAACACCAGTCCAGTTCATCTCAGTAAATTACTGGTGGCAAGCCAGCAAAACCGTTTTCAGTCTCAATTTCCGTCGGGACTCATGACATATAGATATGCCTCATTTTATTGCGCTTGGCAGAAATTGCGTTTTTTACCAATTGATGACTTATGGCAACCATGCGTGGAGCAAGACTATCGGCGCCATTTTTCGAACAGCATGTGCTCACTTCACGTCTCTGTATCACATTTTTATAAGTCTCTTAATATTTCAAACTTTATATTATTATTATTATCATTATTATTATTCGCGCGACGCTCGTTGCGAGCAGACGTGTTTTGCGTGAGCTCCCTCTGTGCGGTGCAGTGTGTGTTTGTGTAGTGAACTCTAGCGAACAGGCTACTATGCCTGCGAGCAAAGATATTTGTGGCCTGTGTAGTAAGGGCTTCTACGGAAAGCAAAAGTTCATCAAGTGTGTAGGGCCTTGTGCTGTTAGATACCATCTCAGCTGTGTCAATATCAGTGAAGCTGAGTATAGTTGCCTTATGGTGAATGGGGAATCAACCTACAAGTGCACGTCCTGCATTAAGAATCTTAGATCCTTGAGACGTGATGATACTCCTGTGAAGACTCGGTCTGCTGCCACTGAGATCTCTGAGGCTGTTTCGCCTTTGAAAATTATCTCTCCGGACAGGGTACTGGAATTGCCTCCTATTTTTGAGGATGGCAAATATGAGGCGTCGATGGTCCTATTAGAGACGATCCGCCTTAATAGTCAGAGCGCGGTTGATATTTTAAAAACACTTTTAGACTTGGTGCACAAACTTAATGATGATGTGACTCATTTAAAACATGATAATTCCTCCTTAAAATTGGAATTAAAAAAAT